CACTCCATCTGTCTAAACTACTGCACCTGCCACGAAAAAGTGATGCCAGGTCATACGAAGTGTTGCACCTGTTACGCAAAATCATCTCAGCAAACCTGAAGATCTGAGGCTCCAAAATGCAACCCCTCTCAGGAAATCAGCGCGCGGACCTCCTAGCAGCTCTGATGAACATGTCTCTTGTACTGCGCCTGCCACGGAAAATGCATCTTTGCAGATCCTCTTCAAATGCCCCACGCCTGCCATCGTTTTTGGAAATGCTACAAAACCCTCACGTTTTGCTCACTTTTGACACGGTGCACAATCCCTTGCGCCTGCCACGCGAAAGCACATCTGAACGTCCAAAAGTGCTCCGTACCCGTAAGTTTTTTGCACTTTTGACTTCGAAATGTGCTTCGCGCCACAACGGCGTGCACTTTTCCAACATCTCAACTTCCAAAAGTGGTCTTCCCACCACAACGGCGTGCAATATGTGCAATTTTTCATCTCTCATCTGGCCAGCTGGCTCTGCGCCCGCCGCTCTAGCGAGCCTACTTGTCGACCCTCCGGAGCCACAAATCATTGGAAAAACACAGTGTTTCGCGACTTTCCTACCTTTTCGCCCACCTTCTTTCTTCTGAGACTTTTCGCGCACCTGGATCTTCTTTCTTCTGAGACTTTCTCTGTCTTCTTCTCTTCTCTTCTCTGACTCTTCCCATCTCTGCTTTTCATCTGTCCATATTGTCGGAAGTTTGACTTCTAAACTTCCTTCGATTATATCTATTATAGATATAGACATAGATATATTATATTATATGTATACTTTCATATACCTTTATATACTGTTCTCATTCTAGAAACTGTGAACATGGCTCAGACTTCCTTGGGATAAACATCTTTGAACCAGGGGTTTTTACACCAAACGCAGTCATCCGGCCTGGGGCGTGATTGTCAAGATCGTCTTCTTGGTGGTACAGCGCAAGGGGAAGTCGATTCGACCTGCTTCAGCTGTGGATTTCTTCGAAAAAGAGAAGGGTCTGCAGGTTTGAGCAAAATATAGCTGTTACATGGAATCTAAATAGCTGTGGAATGGAGTACGATATCATATATAGTCATCCAAATCGCTCTTTAAGCTGGATGTTCCCCAAAGAAACCCTGGTCTTTCCTCCAAGTTGTGTTTTCCATTGTTTTCCCATCCCATCCCGCCTGTTTTTGCAAGGATTGGGAAGCTGGTGACGATGTCTTTGCTGACCTCCGGGATGAACCACAGGGTGATATACCTGTGGCGCCAAACTGGGGAAACCTCCAAAAATGCTGGGAAAAAAAAAATGAATCAAGAAGATCCAATGCGTTATCATTTTGCCCTGCAATTCTGTATATACGGTATATATATAATTATATATATACTGTATATATCCCATTTCTGGACCACCTCAACTTTCAAAGGGCCAAGTTCACAGTCTGAGTTTGGGTCCTGCCTCGTGACACCAGCAGACATACGCCCAGGAGGTACAAAGTTGATCTCGAAGACATCTTTCCTTAGCAGTACATGGCAAGACGCTTTAGGAAGAACTGTCAATGAGACTCCAGATGGCTTGCTGAGCATGTTGACAAGTTTCTAGTTTTATGGTCTACACTGTCTACACTAATTATTCATCTTGGAAGTGGAACACAAAATGTGAATCATTGTGAATCCAAACAGCGGCTATCTGATATCTGGAATTGGAAGTGCTCTTAGAAGCAGCAAGTCATGCTGAGGGTCACTGAGTCCTCCAATGGCAGTAGTTTGAACCTAAGCTGAGGTAGCTGCAGGCTGACCCACCTTGAAACTGAAGTCATCCATCAAAAATAATGAAGATATCGGAAGGAAACAGAAATTATTGAAGGAGGCATTAGTTTGTTTGTTGTTGTCCATTGCACTTGGACATTCCAAAGAAAAACAGCTGAAAGCACCGCATGTCCTGGCTGCTGCGTGAGTCGTGACCCAGTCCGAGAAGCTGGTTGAAAGTCAAAGACACGTTCGTGACCTCTATCACCTGCCGGTACCTTTGGCCAACCTCAGCAAATCGCTGATTGAAAACTTCAAGGAGAGAGCCACAAATTTGGACATGGTATGAGTCACCCCGTAACCACTGGGTGCATTGGCATTTTTTGTAGACTGTAAACCATGTTTGAATAATCATCCAAGTTTGATCCATCCACATGTTTAAACCATCATTGATGGATAGGTAATATTGACTTATACCTGCCTGTTTGGCTTAGTCGATCGAAAAAAGAGGGAAGGAAAACACCCGGAAGGGCGGAAGCCTTGCAGTGAGATCAGCAAATGAACGTTGGGGGCATCTACAGGTCTGCAAATGTCTCTTGCAGAATGTTTGGTTCAGTCCAGCTTGGATTGGAACGTGCAAACCGACAGCTTAACATGCATGGATTGAACTCAACTTGAACTGTTCAATATCGTTAGAGTCCGTTAGATATCATTTTTTAGCAAACAGATTAAGGTGGATTGAACAAGATTGAACTATATTGAACTCAAGTCCAAGCTGAAATTTCTGTCATCAAATTCATTCAATTTCCCATGGCTCGGAGGTGCGCCTCGAAGTCGTTGAAGGCGATCACCGCAGGTTTGGCCAGGAAAGCATCACCTCTGCGGTGCAAGGTGTCGGGGAGATGGGGTAGTGGAGATATGTGATTGAATGTGTGGCCAAAAATGCTGAGATCTTAAGAGATTTATAGCAACATGTTGATGTTTTTTACGGATATATGTAGCTAAAAATGGTGATGTCTTACAGGAAATTATAGGATAAATGATCAAAAATAATGGTGGATATCTTATGGGATATGATGGATATGTATATATATATGTAATTATACAGTAACCAACTTGTTTGTGGCATTTGGGTTTATTTGAAAATGGTGCGAAACACCCCAGTTATGGCAATCAAAAAAAAAGGGACAATGATGATTAATGATGACTAGTTGGTGGAAGGAATGGGGTACCAGTTAGTGGATGGAATGGGGGACCTTCTTTTCAGACAAAGCCATGTGGATGGGGAGGTTTAGCAACAAACAATGGGGAAGTGCACCAGCCAAATGGGGACAATCAAAGCTAGCAATGGAACGCCACCTGAACTCAGTTGGTTTTGAGTTTTGACCTGAAGCCATAATAGGGGTTGCATTGCCCAGCCCCCCCCATTGGGCCGCCTTTGAACTCTTTGCCCTGCCAAGTCTGAACCTTGGCCCAGTCATTTCACCCACAATCTATACAGGATAAATGTTGCCAGAATGGTCCATGTTGGGATATCCACCAACCCAACAATAGGAGGGGTATCACGTGGCTCCGCCAGGGTCTGCTGTCGTGACTGCGAACACCCGGTGTCAGCAAATTCGATCTCTGGGGACAGCAACACTGCAGATGTTCTCCCGCTGACGCTGCCTGCCACAGCACAAGATCTGCAACTGGTTGGTGGCTTCAACCCATGCCAACAATGTAGGAGCCAATTGGAATCATCATCTCGTGTAGGCAGGATGGAATTTATGTATGTATATATATATATATAATTATATATATATACAGTATTTGTTTATTTATTTATGGATAACCGCCAACCTTGTATCAAAACTTGAACCAAATCAGCTAAGGCTTGCAGGAAGTCAAAGAATTGCTGTGGTCTCTTGTACGAAGCCAAATGGGGGCACCCCAGCCTTGCGGCAGCCATGTACTGCTGCTCCAACTTGGAATAGTGGGGCCTCCACAGTTTGCGTTCGCCATACTCCTGGGCGATCTCTGACGATAGCTGGTACGATAGATAGTGTTTTTACTTCAAGCATGAGTTGTGGATAACTGCTATATAACTTATAGTTTGTAATATTGTGTATGTATGTGTATAATATATATATATATACTGTACATAGATTATACATATATTTTTATATACGTATATATATATATTATATATATTGATAACTACTTCTTACTGTGCATTCGTATGTACTAATAGAATGGCACTTATGGCTGGACCGCAATTACTTGGGGTTGGAAATGCAACCCTTCACAAGGGTAACGGTTACCCAGAAAGTGAAAATCTATTCTCAAAATCAAAGTGGAACCCACCTCAATCGAACCAACGAGTGACACCAGGGGATTATTTTGATCCATAGTTCACACTACCTCACACATTGGAAACATATGAAGGAGGCATGAGAATGAATCACAGGCACATCATAGCGATATTCCACACTGAGTTGAAAATGCTAGTATCGAAGCTTCAAACGTAAGCCCGCTGAAAATTCCTTATACCATGATATATTATGGACAATTTATGAGTCTGGTTCAAAATCATGGAAATGGATGATTAACATTGAGACTTACCAAAGTTGTGGGCACCTAAAATGTTCACCACATTCGATCAGTGCGCCTCATCATCTTCCTCGTCCTCCTCGCTCTCCTCACAATTGACGCGGCCAAGGGAAATCCCAAACCCCACCGCGGTGCTGCCGCGCCACTGTCCTCAACTTCCTCCTCTGCGAGTTGATCACCTTGCAGACGAGGTGTTCAAAATGCTGTGCCAAGAAGTTGTCGTGAAATCCCAATATGTCACGGCCAAGCGAATCAGACATATCCCTGTGGTTCACCTGTTTGGGGATGTTCGTGTATAGTGTATTGAGCTTGGCATATTGAAGTGCGCGCAGCTACAAAGCTGGACCTTTGACACCAGTGTGCACAAGCAAATCTTACCAAAATGGGTGACATTTGTCAAAATCAAGGCTTTGAAGACCCTGACATTCCGAACCAGAAAAAACAACATATTGTTTTTTCTGAATTTCAACCCGCAGCCATTCCTGGAATCACCACCTTCGTCTCCAGAAGCTGAGCGTAGAAAGTTGTCCATCTGCTCTTGCTCCATGCGCAGTGCCTTCCACCAAGGGAGTGATCGGAGGCTGTGAGTTGACACCTACAGCTAATCCCTTCGGACTGGAATGCATCCGATCCTCCGAAATCATCTTATAATATAAGGACCTTCTGGATCTCATATGACTATGACTCTGAGCTTCCCTAGCTAATGGTGCCTCTTCTTCCTCCTCCTGCTCACCGATTTGATTCTCTTCCTTCCACTTCTCAATCCTGCCACTCTGACGCATAGCAGCATAGATGATAGCCACAAACAGGGCATCCATACCCATCTTGACTGAAACTCATACCCAAAAAGCTCGCCCCCCAGTCCTCTTCTTACCAGCCCTAACCTGGCTTCCACGCGAGGTCAGTTGCTGTGAATTTTATTGCATATGGAAATTCATGGAACGATAACTGCACGATGCCAGGAAAAATCAAGTGGTCACTATATACTACGTATATGTATATGTATATGTATATGTATATGTATCTGTATATGTATATGTAATATGTAATATGTAATATGTAATATGTATATGTATGTATATATATATATATTCCCTTCAAATTGTCTGTTTCTCTGTACTGATTTCAAAGAGTCTAGTTGTTGACCTCAATATCAAAGCAGCTAAGCTAGGAATAAGAAACATGCCAATGTTTAATCACAGAAGAAATCCATAAATATATATATATACATATTTTAAGTATGTATATAAATGTATACACCCAATGAATCCACTACAACCAAGAAAAGCAGCATTGTGTATCGCAGCAACTTTGACCACCTGGTACCTTATGGCGTCTTGTTTGCGCAAGACAAAGTCCCTCATCCTGCTTCATCACTTCAGCGGATCAGCGCAGCAAAAACGACGCCCAAACTTGGACCATCGACGTGCTAAGACTCGTAGCTAGATCTCCCATCCATCAATCCAAGCGAATCCAAGCCATCATAGTGATTATATGTGATTATATTGTACAGTACATGTTCAATGGTCTAAATGGTCTAACAACCCAATGTTTCAAGGTTAAACAACCCATGTCTTTCGGGGTTTAATCTGCTTCACCAATCCATGTTCAAGGGTTTAACCCCCCTGCTTCATGGATTTTCATGGATTTTCATGGATCTTCATGGATCTTCATGGATTTTCATGGTTTAACCATCACCTTTACTGTTTTAACACCGGTTTCAACCCCCACTAAAAACGGGGCCATGCCCGGCCCCAGCCCGGTCACCTGTTGATCCACGCGTTGGATCTCCTCGCCACGCGCACGGCCCAGGCCAAAGGCGTTGGTCCGTTGGATGCTGACCTGGCGCGTTGGTCCTGGGATACCAATGGATACGCTCTGGTTATGTCAAAATAGCTATTGAAAATGGCCATTTATAGTGGATTTTCCCATGAAAAATGGTGATTTTCCATAGTTATGTTAGTTTACCAGAGGGTACCATGAAATGTCCAGGATTTTTCCATGACATTTGGTTTAGGATGTAGTTGCAAACAAAGAGCCATATGTTTCTACAATTCTCTTGAATATTGAGAGAGAGAGTGAGATTGAATTTTGGAAATGGTTTTGTTTGAAAATGTGGTATCCCAAAATTTGAGAGAGCTCTTTGAAAGGTTTCCCTTTGACTTTGATATATAGTTTGGAATCATATTCATCCCTACGGAAATGGCTATTTGGGGGCATACCCCATTCTCAGACACACCCACATCTCCAATGAGTCGTTATACGTACTGTGTAAATATAATTATATATATATCTAATGAGGTCAACCTAATAATAAACTGTCGTTTGTTGGTGTTTAATAATTGGGTACTGTATACCTCCAGGTATATCTCTATTTGGGAGACGTGCATGGTTGATGATTAAACTATTGTTTGACATTGAATACACATCCCAGTCTTATTGAAAAGCAAATGAACAACATGCATTTGTTATTCTTGGCATTGCTTTTCCTTTCTATCTCGTGTTCATATCCAATATACCCAATACAAGCTAATCAGTATTGTGTTTTATCAAATTGTCAAATTGTAAACCTGGTTCTTGATACAATATCCGAACCGTGTTTATCGACGATAAACCCAACAAACCATCCCCAATGATCAAGCAAAAGGGGCTTCACGATTTAACGATATACAGTAAATTACCATGTCACTCTCTTTAATCAGAATCATAAATAATCTAATGTAGACAAAAAACAAAATTGTACAAACCATCCGCCATGGACATCTTCGGCTTCAAGATGGGGTACCAATAGACTCAGAAAGCGGTACGATGTGAGTTCAGCTGTTGACCAGTCCATGTGCGGGTTGGTCGAAAAGCCGTGTAACACATGTTCAAGCTGCCAGCACGTATCCTTTACCTGAGCACTGTTCAAAACCTGCAACGTCATTCCATTATACTGGGTGATTAATAGGGCTTTTCGGAATGAATTATGATCATACCCAATGTGTACATTTATATATACAGTATATATATATGTATATTTATGTGTTTATATCTACCTATATATACAGCATATATATATATATATCCATATTGCTGTATATATATATACAGCAATATATATATACACAGCTATATATGTATATATACAGCAATATCAATATATATATATATACACGTATATATATATACACTGCAATAATATAAATATTATATATATATGTATACGTATATATTGGTTATTATTGGTTAGTATACCTGTATAACCCCCGTCCCCCCACAATATCCAAGCAATTTTCAAGTTCTTGTCTGCTGAGCCACCGTCAAAAATACCAAAATCAAGTGGAGAAGACATCGTAATCCCATCCTGCTTATGGTTAAAACTAAAAAATAAGACATTGTTTGAACTCAAAATGAAAATGTTATCCATTGTATCATTATCATGCATATTTCGCCTTCCTCTGGTTGGTTCCTTGCGGCTAAAAGTCTAACTGCTAGTGATTCTAGTGTTTTATTAGGTTTTATATAACTGACATTAACTTACCATCCCCACAGAAAGGTTAAAAATCGAAGGGAATGGCCATATTTCTGCCTCACCTTCGAGGGGTCAATCCGCAAGGCGGTACCGGTGGGATCCAACACGTCCACGCTGCCTAGGCCATGAGTTTTTCTGTCAAAAAGAGTCACATACTATATACCATTATAATAGTTATACCATTATATATTGTGGGTATATAATGGTATATAATAGTTATACCATTATATATTATAATCCATTATATACCATTATATACCCACATGTTGCCTGATTGTTGAAGTCCGGTCGATCTGAATGTGATGTTGAAAGGAGCAACAAAAATGACAAAAATATGACAGGAAGCGCGATACTGCAAGAATGCACAAAGCAAAGTAGAAATCGATCATTGCTGTCTGTCGTTCCAGTACCATTTCAATCCTTTGCTGCTTGTCGACTTCAAAAATCTAGAAAGCAAAAAAAATGCAAAAGCACAGTATGGTCAACTCGGCGTAGCCTCACAAACCTGTGAAAGATTGTTTGAAGCCGAGTCGCATCTCGATAAATCCTCCAGGAATCCTCCAGTAATACTTAATATTAAAAACCCACCACTTGTAGATTACAGTATGTTTCTAAACTTTCTAAACCCATGGATTTCCATATCAATGTCAATGCAGATTCAGTTGATCTGAAATTCACCTGAGGCAGCAGCCAATGGTCATCCTTCGAATGTATTGCCTGGCGGTCACAGAGTAGGCTGATTCAGAGCAAGACAACGCCAGCCCAGAAGGTTCCGGTTTTGACTTTCTATAAACATTCTATCTGGTGTGATGCAACAAAAATCTCACACAGAATCTGAGTTGAAATCAAAAAAACATAGTATTGTTGTAACACGTGAACGGGGCACGGACTTTGTGACAAAGCAAACGAGCAACCTGGAGTTCCTACCTGCGGAACACCCTCACTGGGCCGCCCTCACGTGATCTTCTTCTCTTTTGCATAGTTCCCAACCTGCTGCAGTAGTCCCAAGCAGAAGAATGACACAGGAGAACCCACTTCAAAATCAAGAATGATAAACACACTGATATATAGCAATGTAAGAGTGATACCGATAAAAATGATAATAATAAATTATCCGTCCCAAAAGTTCAACGAACACTCCCGAGAAACCATGGCCCAGTAGGGGAACTATACATGTCTGGGACCTTGTAGGGGTGTTTAATATTAGGCGGATATGTTTGAGAATAATAATTAATAACTGTAATAGTGATGGTGATGGTGATGATGATTAGATGATTAGATGATTAGATGATTAGATGATTAGATGATTAGATGATTAGATGATTAGATGATTAGATGATTAGATGATTAGATGATTAGATGATTAGATGATTAGATGATAGATGATGATATTGTGAATGATAATGATACTTGTAATGCTAATGGTGATAGCAGTACTAGAGTAATAACAATAAGAACAAACATCATCAACAAGAAAAAAATGCCCCTGCCGCTGGAATTCCTCCTTCTGTTCCAGCCGTTTCTTAGCGTCCTGGGACAGGCTATGTGGTATGTGCCGAAAAACTTGGCAGTGGAAGAAGTCAACACAGCGATTTATTAATTAAGGTGAATTCTACAGGAAACCATGATTTTTACATAGACCGAAGTATA